TGCATTTTACCGCAATACGACCTGACGTTAGGTTGGGCATTAGGCAAATTCCAGCCAATACCCTGTGGTTGCTGCTATGGCCAAGGATTACTAATCCTGTTCTGGTTCTTCCTGTGAACCTGAGAGCATGTTTTCAACAGCAGTGGACGTCTGTGTAGCAAGTAGGAGAAGGATGTTGGTTATTTCTATTGATAGGCAGGTATCTGTTCAGCTTTGGCTGGCTGAGGGGGTTCCTTTAGGTCAAGATTTTGTAAAGTTGATGGAGGCTTGTGGTATTGGTGAGTACAAAGTGTTTTTGAGGAAGTAACATTCTTCACAAGAGAAAAAATGGTTGGTTTTCTTTATTATTCTCCATACAAGATTTTCATGTTGTTCTATGCCACCTTTTCCATTTTGATCTATTTGCCTATGCCTACTTATCTATATGCCTACTGTCTTGTTATACACGTGCTTTGTTTCTATGCACTTTTTCAATTCAAAATTATACTTTTCAATTTTTTTAGCCTATGCAGTGGGCTTTGAAGTGTAAGCGGTGCTTCATGTTGCTGCACTGCATTTGCTCAACTTGTAGTGAGGGGTCTAAATTCTCTGCGCCTGAAAGTGCAGCGTACAAAAGCTGCACTGCAGTATGTGGGAATTTCAAGGAGCTGATTTCTAGTTGCGCTCCAGCCGCCATGCCTGAAGTGTAATGAAGCGCAGTTGGTCCAACGTTGATATGATGATATTGGAATTTTTGTGGTATGACAGGCAAAAGGCCCACTCAGCCTGAGCCCCAACCCAAAAACCTTGGGTAATGGCCTACCCAGACCCCAAACAAATGTGCAATAACTCCCCCACACGCCTGGACCCCACCCCAAACCTATCAAAACCCAGCTCTCAGAAGCCTCCCCAACCCCTATCCTGGATGCCTAAAAGAGATTGGGGGTTTCATGCCTATGTGCCCCATCCACAAACCCTACGGGATCCTTGTTTTATTGGAATCCCAGAACGCCTAACCAAAATCACACCCCAAGGGTTTGGGGTTTGGGGAACCCTTGGGGTGTTTGGGGTGTTGGTTCCGGGGCTCAGGCTGAGGCCCCACATGATATTATTTTAAAGTCCTTTTGAAAACTTGCTGAAGCTTTGATGAAGCTTTCAAGAAGTTGTAGTAGTCTCCGGCCTGCCGGAGCCCAGTAGATGGGGGCTGTGATTATGCTTTGATTCACTAACCTGAACCATGAGGAGTAGTGAGTCCAATATCATTATAAGACATGTTGAGATTATCTTGAGAGTAATTTGTTACAAGTTGGTTTGAGATTTATTGAAGTTGGGTTGTGATTGTAGTAAACTTGATGATTCTTTTTGGTTGAAAAAGAAAGAAGGGTTGAAAGTGAGGATCTAATAGGCTAAGGCCTGCTGAGGCCTCAGAAGCTCTTTGATTCAACTCAAGTTATGCATTGTTCAGTGGCTTCAAATGCATTGAATTTATTGGTTGATATTCCCTTGTGTTGATGTAGCAAAGGAATTTGTTTGACCTTGTGTGATAAGGTCAAACAGACAAATCCAATGGTAGAATTCCGTGATAATTCAAGCCAGAAGAGCTGACAAATTTAATAAAATAATTGCAATGAATTCATCAAATAGTAGATACTTGAGAAGAGGATATCCGTACAAGGTGATAGATTGTGATCAAAGGTGGCTTGCTAAGCTAAGCTAAGGATTTTTGCCACCTTGGCTTAGCTTCGCTAGAAGCCGCTAAGGAAAAATTAGCAATAAAAAATCACTAAGCTAATGCACCGCTAAGCGCTAACTTAGCTTAGCCGTGCCACCGAAGTTGTCATCAAAATGAGCTACAAATAATGCTTGAGCTCAAAGCAAGAGGAATCAAGTTTTTTCGTGATGGTTATATCAATTGATTGAATCAACCTCTTGCCCAGTTTTTGAAAAAACTCGGTCACTTTTTGAAAAAACTTGAGGTTTCTTTTTTGAAAACTCAAGGTTTTTTTTCTCCAAAGTCTTCAATTATGCAAAGGGCTGTAGTATTATTGTTATTATAATGTTATAACTCTTCGAAGCTACTTTGGTTGCAACTTTGTCACACCTTGGGGGCTGACATTCCCCAACCACAGGGAGAGACTTACAGGAACCCCAACCACAAAGGCTTGATTTCTGGGTGGGCCAACCTCCAAGTGCAGGTACAACTCATGGCACAAATCAGTGTACCCCACAATACTTGAGCCTTGACTAACCAGCCACTGTAAAAAAGGATGATACTAAATCCAGCCCGGTGCTTGCAACTCTGACCGCCCGGAATTGATCTGTATTCATCTTCTGTCCTGTGTGGCTTGACATTCTGGTTGGTCGCTTGAAATTTCATTGATTTCAGCTCGTGACTGCCCGCTCTTAGTTCCGTCAAATGCATGAGGATGTGAATTCATAGTCCTCTCTCAATTTCTCAATCTTGATTGGACACAGTTTTGATGAATATAGTGTTACAACATTCATCAGAAAACTTGGTCGGAAAAGCACAGGGTATATGTAAAAAAAATGTGATGTGTAGATGAGTGGGGATGACTCTTCAAAGGGGAACCGTATTACTTCAATCAGTCATACTTGGATTGTTTACATTGCTTTACATTTGCGGGATCCAGAGTAGAATCCGGGCATGTGCCCGGAATTATTTTGGCAGTAAATTTTGATTTTCTGGGCAAAAGTCCGGGCCCAGAATTCAAATTTACTGCCAAAAATAATCTGGGTGGGCACGTGCCTGGCTTCTACTTTGTATCCCGTAATTGCAATTGCCTCAAAGGGCCGTAATGCAACTTTTCAGGATGCCATTTGTTTTTGCTGATGACAATACATATAGCTACTCTGATTTTGAGTTCAAGGTCCACTTTCACCTTATAACATGAGATCAAACACCCGTTGATGTTTCTTGATAGAAGTCACAGTGGACCCAGAAGGCCACACTCAAGCTGGACACCATGTTGTCCCATCAAAATCAAGAGTTTTGGGTTTTCTCATGATTGCATACTCACATGATACAGGCAAGGGGACGTCCCTGCCTCTGGAGCAGGGATGCAGGAGTGAGTATGAGTTTACTCAGGAAAGTGAGTATTATTGAGTATACTGAGTATTTTTGCCTATTTTTGGCCCTGTAAACCCGTACAAAGTGAGTATCAGTTGACACTACAAGAAACATAACATTTTCTGGGCAGAAAATTAAATTATTTGTATACAAAAATCTGGAAAGGTCAGAAACAGAGCAAAAAATGTGAAAAAATATGCATCCTGTTCCTTGGTATGAGATCTCCAATCTGCATATTTTTCCGTATTTTTGGGGTTCATATTGGTGAGTGTACTAACAATAAACCCTCATAATCACCAGATTACCACCTGTAACAGATGCTGGAATTTGGCTGATCAGTGCTGAGAGAAAGTTTTGATTACTATAAAACCCCATAACTTTGTCAATTCTGGCTCAAAACACTCGATTTTGGGTGCATTAGAAAGCTGAATTCCTGAACTACAACTTTCGTATTGACTCAAAATGTGTAATCCCAATGGCTGACATTCTATTCAATGATATGTGAAATTTGATTTCATTGGGGATATCTTTCTTTTCAGGCCCGCCACGTATTTGGTTTATTTATGAACTATCTTCAGGCAAATACCAGCTTTCCAATGCACTCAAAATCGAGTGTTTTGAGCCAGAATTGACAAAGTTATGGGGTTTTGTAGTAATCAAAATTTTCTCTCAGCATTGATCAGCCAAATTCCAGCATCTGTTACAGGTGGTAATCTGGTGATTATGAGGGTTTATTGTTAGTACACTCACCAATATGAACCCCAAAAATACGGAAAAATATGCAGATTGGAGATCTCAAACCAAGGAACAGAATGCATATTTTTTCATATTTTTTGCTCTGTTTCTGACCTTTCCAGATTTTTGTATACAAATAATTTAATTTTCTGCCCAGAAAATGTTATGTTTCTTGTAGTGTGAGTATATACCTGTATATACTCATACTCGGTACTCATTCCTGCATCCCTGCTCTGGAGGGAAACTGTTTTCACATCAGCATTCATGTCTGATTGACCAAGATAAGAGCAGGCAGTCACAAGCTGAAATTGATGAGATATCAAGCGACCAACCGGAATGTCCAGCCACGTGGGACAGATGATGAATACAGATCAATTCTGGGCGGTCAGAGTTGCAAGCACCGGGCTGGATTTAGTATTATCCGTAAAAAATGGGAAAAGCTTGGGCACAAGTTTTTGCAGGCAAATCAAGGCAAGGCATCAACTTTTGAGTACATACTTGATGGACATGGTTACATAACAATTCACTGTGGTTTTAGTAATAATGATGTATGATATAGTGGGAGCAGAGCATGCCAAAGACATGAGAAATAACTTGTGAAGCACCTTCTACAAGGAGATCAAAGCCGCCTCCTCCTTTGCGGCAGATCACACACCTGAGACTTGACAATAATGCATCATGAGTCAAGGCGTGCGGTTTTCGGACTGAGGACCCACACATGGGCAAAAGCCGCACGTCAGAAAGAAGCCATATATTTTTTCTCGTGAAACACCAAAAACAAATCGAGAAATCCATATTTCTCGTCACCTAATTCATTTGATACCCTATATATGGTCTTTATTGAAAGAAACTATGTATAACTAGCTTGACAAAGTAACATTGATCGACGCGCTGAAGTAGGCCAATAAACACGAGATTATAAAGCCGAACGATTATGAAGACGAACTTAGTTTAAATGCCAATCCAATCCAATCTAGACGAGGAGAGTCACTTACACTTAAATATCAGTGTCATCTTCGTCAGGCAATGGAGCAGCTGCAGCTGCAGCTAGCTCCTTGTTGTAGACCTCCATGAGCCCGGCATCAACAGCAACCTCAGGAGGTGCGAGAGCAGGAGCAGCAACAAGTTCCAAGTTGGGGGTTCTGTAAAGGAAAGGACGGGGCGCAATGTGAGGATTGAGTTCCGAAAGACGCAATCAATATCGGATCATCGTATGACAAAAAATGAATAAACAAACCCGGATAATTTTCGAGCTAGCCAAAGGAAGGGCTTTTCGAAGTTGTAGTTCGACTTGGCAGAGATCTCAAAGTACTGCAAGTTTTTCTTGCGGTGAAAGGTCACGGCACCTGTCTTAACTTTGCGCTCCTATGCAGCGAAGATCCATGCAACAAAGACACCGTTAGATTGAGACGTAACCGCAGATGGCGAAGGAAGGAGTGTACTCACCTTGACATCGACTTTGTTTCCACAAAGGACAATGGGGATACCCTCGCAAACACGTTCGAGATCACGGTGCCAGTTGGGGACGTTTTTGTAAGTAATCTTTGACGTAACATCGAACATGATGATACCACATTGACCCTGGATGTAGTAACCATCACGAAGTCCACCGAATTTTTCCTGTCCTGCTGTATCCCAGACGTTGAAGCAGATCATACCTAGGCAAATCCAGACGAAAAGAGGTATGAGCCCAATGAACACGAGTGAAATCAAAACGAAGGTCGTACCGTGATTGGTGTGAAATGTCAAAGGGTGAACCTCGACACCGAGGGTGGCAATGTATCTAAGATGTTGAAACAGGAAAGATTAGTTTGAAGGCTTCAGTGTAAATTTTCAAGGAGCGGGAATTGGACAAACTTTTTCTCGAAAGCTCCTGTCAAGTGACGCTTTACGAAAGTTGTTTTTCCGGTTCCACCATCACCAACTAGATTATGGATGATCGAGTGAGCGGGGTATACCAGATCCGACCGGATGTAATGAAGAGGTGAGGAAGTCGTGTAGACAGAGTTAAAAGGGGAAGGTCGGGCGTTAGAAGACAAAGGGAGTTAAAACAGTGTTGGATTGGAAATTTCGATTCGAATGAAATCGAGAGGAAAAAGCTTTTTCGACCGGAAGAAGCCAGAGAAGAAATGAAAGACTTGAAAACGTACCGAGAACTAGCTTGAAAGCGGGAATGTTGCTTGCCTCTGCCATTTTGATCTCCTATTAACTTCTACGCGTCAATTGAGATTGGAACAAAAAGAGATATCTTGGTAAGCTATCAATTCGAATTGCCGATTCGATTGATGAGATTTCGAAAGGAAGAAAAGAAAAGTCTTCTTGACTTGACCCACAATAATTTAATGATTACTCTAAGAAACGTTCAGAGTGATGGGAATCGATCGATGAGTTGGTTCTCAAAGGAAACAAGTTTGGATTGGAAATTGGTTTTTTGTTCTTGAATCGGTCCGAGGGCACCTCATATCTCGGCGGATTGCAAAATTTGACCGAATTAACTCCAGTGACTGCGCATCCTCACTATACGGCTATTTTGATATGTCACATCCTACGTAGTGTGTAAGTGCTTCTGTCAGCAAAAAGGTGGCGCACAAGTGTATCATCACACCCTATGATACCGCCTCAGGCAGACCACACGTTGACGGTGGCCCACTTCTCCCTGTTATGGCTGAAGGCCTGGCCGGGTGTCTGTACACGACGGAGGCACAGTAGACCTAGTTTATCTTTGCATGTTATAACCTGTCGAGCTCCAGCTCCTGGCTCCTTCAACGTCCTTTTTTGTGGTTGGATCCTCAATGCTGAGCTTTTGCTGTAACAGGTTATGAGCTGTTATGAATCCCAGTTTGGGATGTCAAAGAAATTGATTGATTTTTTTGAACGATAGATACAAACTAGGCGTTCCTAAACCATCACCAAACTGATTGAAGAGCCAGATCAAAAAAACAGATTCCAACAACAACGCTGACCAATTTCAAAACATAAAGCTAGAAGTTTCAAAGTTTTCACCGCTTATCAAGAAGATATAGCTGTTTGAGAGGTTTTACTGTTTACTTAAAAAATCAAGATATCAATCTTATAGATTCTCAAGAGCTGTTTTGAAAAGGTATCAATCAGACTCTCAAGATTGTGTTCAAAAGTTATTAATCAAATAGTTTATAAGCGGATGAAGTTTATATTATAGTCAATTCTCACAAAATCTTGATTCCAACTTCTTGTTGCCAGCGGGTTGATCTGAAGACCATCAGTTTTGTTTAATCTTATTTGATACCTTTGAAAATTCATTTTTTGAAAGATGGCATACCGACATCCTTGTAAGCTTTCAGCTTCAATGATCTATGGAACATGAACATTGAGAGGACGCAGAACTATCATTAGCAGACAGTAAAATTAAATTGAATATGTTTATTTTGTAACATGGAAAGTACATTGATAGAAAGAAACGAAAATAAATTTGAAAACTCTACATTCAATTAAAGGGTTAAGGTCTTAGGAAAACGATTATGGATGTCTGTACAAAGAATTAGGGGTTTGGCTGAGAGAGAGAGAAAAGAAACTACAAAAATAAATTGATCACAATTTTCCACGAATCACCCGACCCCAGGCTCCATTTTGACTTTTAGCACTTTCTTGCCGCTTTCTTATAATGGTGCGTTTTCAGGCGTTTGCCCGTCAAGATTATCACTGAATTTTGATTCAATCATCAAATTTTGAATGGTAAAAGACTCGATCAATCATCTGATGAAAGAAAAAATGAAAAATGAAAGATGAGTTTGACTTACAAATTCCAGGTGAACGGGGAAGCTATGAGTAAACTTCGATCTTCCTCTGCAGTTGGATTGAATTTGTCAAAGAGCTATAACATCATCCAAAATCAAAACAATGGTTGTTATTCTATAAGTTCAAGTCAAGATAGAGGAAAACATTATAAAGCTTACACTCTTCGTCATCCATATTTGAAAGCATCCTACCGCGGGATCCGTAGTATAAAAATTACAACCATCTAGTACCTTGGCTACTTGCACGGTCTCCGGCTGATTCTGTCGTTGGATGAAACTGTAAATGAATGAGAGAAAAAGTGACGTGGCGTTATTGTTCTTGTCAGCTATCTTGTTAGCCTGACAATTGGAAAGCATGTTGGGTACTCACATCTGCTTGCCACAGTTTCCATTTCCGGCCCTGAAGGGATTCACATCATAGGTTTTGAAGGTCAGATCAAGAATATGAGGGTATGCAAGGGTATGCATAGTCAAACAAATCTAAGAGCTCACCAGTTTAACCATCCCGCGGTCTGAGGGTCTGCCCCGTTGACCCAACTCGTCCCGGACCACAGACAAACACCTAACGTGTCAAAAAAGTCTCAATATCCAAGTTTTGTGAAAGACGCATTGCTCAACCAAAAGATTTAAGCTCACCTGAGACCGTGCTAGGATCATAAGGACCTAAAAACAGTTACAAAGAAGTAAACAATCAGATCCTGTATCTTTCCCTTGCGAACTTCATCCGAAATCAGTCTTCTAGACTGCGACACTTACCGCAGATCTTCCAATCCCAATTAAAGTTGAATGAAAAAGCAATGGGTTAGTAAACTACATGACCATCAAGAACCACTCATAATCAATACTTACCCCGCCACCGCCATGGATGCTCACAGACTAGAGTTGCACAGAGAAGAAATGAAGCGTTAGAAATAAGTTGATCAGATATAGAATTTCTTGTGATTTGATAAAGTGCTTACCCCGTTGGTTGTATCGTACCGTCGACGGAATCGTTGATTCTCCGGTACATCTCCCATCTGAGTTTTAATGAATTTTAATTAGGTAGATCAGATTCATCTTACTCAAGTTCCAAAATTTTCAAAGACATCTTTACTCACTATTCCGGCATAGTCGGCCGTAATGGGTGCATTGGGATCTCCAGTGCAAGGCATATCTACAGAGGACTGGACACACCCGTCCTTTTGCAAGAAGTAGTCATAGCACAAAGTATGATTGGCCGCACTTGCGGCCACTGTACTAGGAAGGTTAGTTGCGCTTGGATCTTCCACTGCCGGTGCATCCTCGGCGGCCAGAGCGGTGTCGTCCGCATCGTCCGAGGCGATGAAAATAGCTAAGATCAATACGACAAGGATGAAAAGATAGCTTTTCACGGCGAGGAAATTCATATTTTGAAGATGTAGGTTTTAAGGTTGTTGTAGGTTTTAAGGTTGTTGTAGGTTTTAAGGTTGTTGTAGGTTTTAAGGTTGTTGTAGGTTTTAAAGTTGTTGTAGGTTTTAAAGTTGTTGTAGGTTTTAAAGTTGTGAGGTTTAGGAAAGTGTTGGTGTAGAGATGATGAAAGATTGGATGAAGAAAGCTTTCGATGAGCAAATCTTTGATCTCTCTTATAGCTTTCCTTCCTTTGATTTTTGAGTCGATAATACAAAACTTGAGCCTGGAGAGATCGCTTGAAGTTGTGCTATGAGCCGAAGATACAAGCCTTTTTGCTCAAAGCCATCTCTTGGACAAGTCTGAGGCCTCGAAACTTAATAAGCCCTCTTCGCTCGCCGGAGCCATTTCTATCAAACAAGTCTAAGTTTGGAGGGCTGTGTGATGGCCGGGAAGGAATACCGTCTAAACCACGTTCACCTTTTGGCCATCTTTTAACACACACCAGCCAACCAATCAGCTTCCTTTTGGGCCAAAGAAATTGAACTTTCAGGCCGAAAATATTGATCTCGTCTCATGACCGTCATTATGTGAGCAAAAGATCAGTCCAACCCATCTTTCGGCTCACGAATTGCCTCGTGGACTGGTATTGGAGGTTGAACTTTTCTTAAATTCTTAGCCCAAGTATGAGGCACGCAGAGAGTGCGCGTGAGTCCATGCTCGCGCAGTGTAAAGGACTTGTGCAACAATTCTTTCGCAGCCTTTTTCCTCAATCCGGATCAATCTCCTGATGAAGAGATCCCCATCAAGTTCTAGATGACTTGACTTAATCCTACACACTCCGCTTCTCCGAAGGCTGCGAAAGGACAGAAGGATATAAGAGTGAAGTTAGCAGGACCTTTGTCTACCTTTGTCCCTTACCGTATGCACTTTTTTCTCTTATTCATCATTCTGCCCCTTCCTATCTTCCCCAAGTGTTTTCTAGTCTTGGAACACCTCAAGTCTTATGAAATCAAACGTTCATTTTCAATTTTACATCCCACCCTCCCTTCAATAATGTAGGTACTGATGGAAGGCAGAGCACACAGACAGTTTGGAGTGTAATACCATCTTTAAGCCATGCTTGAGACCCCACTAGCCATTCCATTGTTTTAGGCAGCGTCCCACCCCAAGATGGGGTGCAAACATTGGCAGCCACCAAAAATGTTTGCTTGCAAGTGCATGAAGTTGCCAATACCACCCACAGTGCCCGTAGCGAAGGCCCCCGACGTCGGGGGCCCAATGATCTTGGCAATTTTGTCGCATTTGTGTGATTTTTGTGGCCCAAAAGCGTACAATTATCCACAAAGGGGAAAGATTGGAAGAATATTCCTTACGCTGAACTTCATCCGTCTGAGTCAAGCCTGAGGCAGACTAGGAGACAAGCGGCCCTGAACGCTCAGTATGAACGACTGAACTTTCATTTTCCCCTACTGAACGCTCAGTGTTCCTCACTGAACACCTGGAAGCTCCCCATGAACTATCCTTGCCCGAGAAAAGCTGGTGGCCATCCCCCGTTCCGCATTGGAGAGCCAGTGTATGTATGTAAGTCTATGTAAGTACATACATAAATTCATAATGTCAGTTCATCCAATATTCATAACAACGGGCCCAGTGTGAGTGGCACAAGCCCACTTTGTTGATCAGGATCACTATACTTCGATGATTTCTTTCGAGATCAATGGATTTAGCCCAAGCTTACAATTCCTAGGAAGCTCAGCCTTCCATTTCCCTATCCAGTCAAAACCTTATCACCAACACTTTCAACTAACCAACCAAGTGCTCAACTCGATTTATATAACTGTCGAGTCAACAACCTTATGGCAAAGAGGACACTTGAGATCCCGAAATTAAAATCAAATCTGCATCGACTCCATCACATTCTAAGTTTCATTAACGATCTTGACTATTGACGAAGAAGAAACTGAAATGGAACCTACAGATCAACTATCTGAACATGAACCTTTAACTGCTTTTAATCCGCACAAAGATATCAGCCAATTCCAGAAGACATTAAGTTACCTTTGCTTATTTATTCTCGGTGCTTGTATTCTCTTACCATGGAGCTCGCTCTTGGTATCAACAACTTATTTCGGATCTAACTTGGTGGGAAGCGAGTTTGAATTCAGTTATATGAATTGGGTAGCTGTTGTCTTTACATTCTTCAATGTCTCATCCCTCATTCATGCTACACTCAAACAAAACAATGTACGTCCAAGATATTTCTTATCTCTTAGTCATAATCTCACTGAACCGTATCATTCTGTTTGTAGTCAAGTCACACTAGAAGGATTCTCTTTTCACTAATTGTGATTATCATTCTATCATTAACGCTGTTATGTTCTACAAGATTTGAAAAATTTGGATCTCATACTTTCTTTACTTTCTTGATGATTCAAAGTTGGTCTATGAAGTCATTCTTATTCATCTACTGCGAAGAGATCCTGAGGTATGTGTTCAAATACTCTCATTTGTTATGTAAACCTCGATGTTTATGTTATATTTGTTCGAGATCAGAACATGTTAAAGATGATCAGGAGATGGCCACCAGATATATACAATGTATTTGCTGTGATATCAGCTACTCAAGATCGTTTAACAAGAATCAATGATGATTCAAATGTACTCTTGATGACTTGTCTAACTGAACGGTAAGATCCCTTCTTGCTTCTTTTTCCTAATTTTTCAATCGTCTGATTCAAGTTTTGACTCTCTTTAATCCCACACAGTTATATTTTGAATCATCAACCCGGAAAAGCTTTGGCTTACTATTTGAGATTGAGAAAGCCAGAGGTATTTGAATTGATCGAGGATCATAACTTGTTTACTGATGTCCAGGATCAAGTATTGTTATTGATCGAGTTTGATGATGAGTTGAACCCATATCAAAATCTGAACAAGAAAGAGCATGGGACAGCTATCAATCTATTAGTTGAACATACTCATTCAATCCCCGTGAGTCTGCTTCTCTCTTGACATTTCAAACTGTATCCTTGTGGAATTCTGAAAAGATCGTGTTTCATTTTTGCGATTATTAAAAAGGTTTTAAGCGTCATAACTCAATTGACAGATCACCGACGATATCTGGCCACTTATTTGGATGCATGATTCGACATCGATCCACTCTCAGGAACAGATTACAGCGATCTGCACGTTGATCTTTTTGCAGAGTTTGATAGAAAAAGGTTAATGGAATATCTTCGAGCAAGCAACACGTATAGTCTTGCCAAGGTTTGGATCTGATTTCATATTTTATTTATTTACATCCATGGTAATGATTTAGATTTATTGAGATGATACCTGGTCGGGTTTGAATAGGCTTATAAGATCTGTAGTGAAGCCGACTTTGTTCCGGAGATGGTCTATCTTTTGGGTAGGATGGGACATAACAAAAAAGCTCTATTTTTGATAATCGATCGAATTGGTGATGTTCAAAGGGTTGGTTCCTTATGAGATCACCTATCTCTCTTCCTCGTCCGTAAGAAGAAGAAAGACATCTTAATCTTACAGGATTTGATCACAATGATTATTTTAGGCGATTGACTTTGCTAAGGAACAGAATGATCATGATCTTTGGGAAGACTTGTTGTTATATTCGGAAAGCAGACCAGGTATGAATCCATGAAATTTTAAAACATAATTCTGAGAAGTGACTAAAGGTGTTTATCTTTATGGATGATATGTTTTAGCTTTTATCAGAGGTCTTTTAGATAATGTTGGATCTGAAATTGACCCGATCAGATTGATTTGACGAATCCGAAATGGATCGGAGATTGAAGGTTTGAAAGAATCTATCATTAAGATTCTTCATGATTTTAATCTACAGGTATGTGTTTCGCTTTTCTCTGTCTTTCTTTCAATCTTTGCGGTTGCTAATTTTTTCCGATGTGATCCTCAGATCTCATTGATTGAAGGGTGTAGATCAATTCTAGAGAATGATTGTTGAGATTTATCGAGGATGTACTATGTCAGTCAGTCAGCCGGAGCTTTAGGAGATAGTCAGTACTATTCTTTTCCGAATGAAGAGTTTGCATATCGCTTATATTTTTGGTTCCTTCGCACAACGTGCAAAAAGGCTCTCTGAAGTGTGAAAAGTGTGGATTGAAGTTAGATGAACCAGTAGGAGAAGAAGAAATAGTAAATGAAATCTCATTGATGTTTCTTTGTAGACATACTTTTCATGCTTGGTGTGTATTTGCAAAAGACACAGTGATGGCAGCATTAGTAGAAGGTAGGATGAGAAAAGGTGTGATTAAATCTAAATTTGAACAAACTGTGATCTTAATGTCTGGAGATGATATAGTTTGCTAGATTTGTTGTAAACCTTTAGAGAAGAAGAAGATTGGGAATCTTTTGGTTTGAGGTTTAGATTTGTTTTTTTCTTTTTTGTTGGCTTCTTGGTTTGAATTATCGTGTGAGGTTGGTTTTGGTTGATTTGATTTGATTTGTATGATCAGGAGCAGGTGTAGATTTGGTGGTTATTAAGTTGTAAGAAAGATGAACACTTGCTACTTGATCAATTCACAACTCGAGTGCAAGATGAGATCCATGGGTGGTAGCTTGGGAAACTAGTGACATAGCTTGACTGTTCTAAGGGTATGCTGCAAGCCTAATCATACTTTGACATACATCACCCAATCACAATGTTCGTGGAAGTTGTCTGAACGGCTCAATGACAAGGCTTTCCATGTAAATCTTTGCTAGTATCAAGCATGATTGGTAGATGTGATTTGAAGATAATCAATCACTTGCTGACTTATACTAAGCATGATGTTGTTTACCAAATCTAACAGTACATCCTGATCTAGTGAGTTATTACACACGACCGTGGCACATATTCCATGCCAATCAAGTCTACATAGTACTTGAGGCAGATCGCCCAAGGGAATGTGATTTACAGGTGAATCACAGCTCACTGAGTAGTCTTTCCTACTGTGCTATTTATGGAAAAATACAAAGGAAGTAATAAGAAAACAAATCG